TTTTTATCTTTTATATTCTTCCTTCTTGATTTTCTTTCTTTTTCTTTCTTTCGCTTCTCCGTTAATTGTTCCTCCGTGTAATTGAATAGCAAATAACTCGTGACACACGTGGTTGGTTCGCGCGTCACTATTGAATTGCTAACATTCTTCTAGACTACTCGTTCTTCTATTGTTTCTCTTTTATCTTTTATCTTCTTTTTTTTCTCTCTCTCTCTCTCTCTCTCTCTCTCTCTCTCTCTCTCTCTCTCTCTCTCTCTCTCTCTCTCTCTCTCTCTCTCTCTCTCTCTCCTTTCTCTTTACTCTTTTTTATTCTCTTTTCTTTTCTCAAAGGTATTCTTTCGTTCGATAACCTAACATTCAATAGAGAGAGAGAGAGAGAAAGAGAGTTTTATTCGATATTTCGAGACTTTGGTCTCGATAGATTCTTACTGATCAAATCAGAACTTGTGAGGTACTTATTTACTTATATTTTTATTAGCTTAACTCGATAAAATAGTATTAATTTTATCTACTTTATTTTATATATATATATATATAAAATTAGAAATCGATCTATTGAGGGAGGTCTGGGGGAAGCAAACACCTAACTAAAATATATTTCTTAGGTTAAGTTTACTTTGTTGTTGTTAACTTCAGACTATCATAGTCAACTTCTTAACGTTGCTACGTGGCCGTATTGCGGGGGTGGAGGGATGGAGGGTAGGGCACTTAACGAGTTCGTCGAACGAACGTCGCTAACAAAACGTCGTACGTCATTGCGAAATACATTTAAACAACAAATGCACAATATGCAACCTATTGGGGTAAATCTTGTTATCTTTATAAGCTCCTCTTATCGATCGTAAATCTTTCTCAAGGTATGGAACTACGTCAATGTTTTTTATTTTTTTCATTTCTTTTTTTCTTTTTTTTCTTTTTTTGTTTTTTCTTTTTTTCCTGCTTATTTTTTCTTTTCCTTTTTTTTCTTTTTTCTTTTCTTCTCTTTTCCTTCTTTCCTTTTCTTTTTCTACATTGTTATCTAATGTACAAGGAGAAATTCCTATTACATATATGTACGTACGTATGTATGTATATATGTATGTATGTATGATGTAAATAGATATCGATTTATTCGATAGAAATCAATACAATTACATTATTTCGTTTCCAAATGACAATGATCACGTAATACGCTTTCTTTGGAAGACTCGTTGAACTCAGTTATAATAGTAATACGTTCTATTTAATGTAATCGTATTTATGTATAATAGTCGAGAGATAGAGAGAGAGACAGATAGATATAGATAAAGAGAGAGAGAGAGAGAGAGAGAGAGAGAGATTTGTATATGTGTTTGTATATGTGTGTCGATCGTTTCTTTCGAAAAATTGACGTCACTGAGACTCGTATTTGTGGCTGCGTTGTGTGACGTTTTTAATGGCACATAATGGCCTTCGTTCCAAACGATTTACGCACGAAACGATTCGCTTTTATCCTCACTGAACATCTTTCTTTCTTTCCGTCTTTCTCTTTTTTTCTTTCTTTTTTCTTTCTTTTTTTTCTTTTTCTTTTTTCCATTTTACTCGTTTACTTTTGTTATTTCCTTTTTTACTCTCCTCGTTAGTAAGCATTTGCCTCTTTCTTTTTTTATTACAACGCGACGATCATAAATACATACATATCTACATGTACATATATGTATATGTATGTATGTATGTATGTATAAAACATATTTATTCTGTATTTCATTAATCTCACGATTAATCAAAATTCTGTAATATTTTATATATATGTATTTGTATGTGTATGTATATATATATATATATACAAATACAAATTTTAGTAGCCATAACGTTCAAATTTCGTACCGCAATTATCATATTTGAAATGAAATATTTTTTTCTTCCAGATGTCGCGATCGTCGCTCCATTCCTACTTACCTCTCCCCTCTTCTAATCTTTAAAAATTCTTCAACGGTCAAGAAAATTTATCGTCAAATTTTATTTGTTTAAATTTTTCTTTAAATGTACGTTGATTTTGATTTAATATTTATTTCATATACATATACATATACATATATATGTATAGATATATATATGTATGTATATATATATATTAATTTTAAAATAATATCGTTTAATATTCATTGTAATCTTTGTTGCACGTTTAGGTTAGGTGAAATTGAATTCTCGCGTGATCCTTAGAGCAGGTACGAACGAACAGAGTTTCTTCTAACCTTAATTTAACTTAAAAGGTAAGGTAAAGTTAAAAAAAAAAAAAAAAAAAAAAAAAGAAGAAAAGAAAAGAAAAAAAAAATATTCGCATGCTCCCATATTGCATATTCGATAATACCGTTGGTTCGGAGATAATAATTCGATATTACGAAATATTAATGTGTTTATAATGCATGTATGCATGTTTGCATGTATTTTACATATGTATGCAAGATCGGCTATAGTAGAAAATGCGGATCATTTGCTCGTACTTATTATATAATTCTATTTATACGACATTTATTGCGGTTCTATTAACGTAAGAAAAGATATTTCGTACGACAAAGCTAATTTAACATATATCTACGTATGTACTTACGTACGTAAGTATATATGTATGTAAGTACGTATGTATGATATGTAAAACGTTAAAGATTTAAAATTTACGTGTTTAAATCTACGAACGAAATATTTTCATTGAAATAAATAATTCGTTATAGTTTAAACATCGACGTATATATGCTTTAGTTTTACGAATATAACGTTCTGAAGATCGGATTAAATGTGTTATATTATGTCTAACTCGAACGTCATCAATGTACATATATATATATATACATATATATATATACATATATATATATACATATATGCATATATAATATGAATATATATATATATATATATATATGCTTTGTTACGTATAACTTATATATAAATGTATGTGTATATGTAAATATATATGTGTGTATGTGTAAAGATATGTAGATAAGTATCTATATAATAACATACAATATACGTAGATATGTACGTACGTATATGTATATATATATATATATTATATATACACGCACACACACATATATATATATATATCGTAAATGCGTATGTACATAAGTAGGTACGTAGGTTGTATAGTTTCGGCAACGTGCCATGGATGTGTTGGTAATTTAACCACAAGGTATAAATGTTTAATTAGAATAAAGTCCATGAAAAGATTCTTAGAACTATTGTTACTTGATAATCCTTGACGTAAGTACGATTATATGTCGTGTTATACCACGAAAAGTATCGTTTTTAATTCGATGTTTAGAGGAAAGGAAGAAAAAAAAAAGAAAAGAAAAAGAAAAGAGAAATAAAAAAAAAAGAAAAAAGAAAAAAAAAGAATCGATCAGGATCGTAATAATCTTCAAAGAATATAACGTAATACAATATATCGGCATTGACTTTTATTCTTAACCTTTAAATAAGCGATAGAGAGGGAGAGAGAGAGAGTGAGTGAGAGTGATAGATAGACAGAAACTATTAAATTGAAAATTAGATAATACCATTAATCACCGCTTATCGAACTCTTGTTAATTAGTCTCAACGACTTGTAATTATTTGATAGATAGATCGTCAGTTTGAACTCGTTCAATTAAGATTTTTTTTTTTTTTCCTTTTCATTTCATACGTATATCACGTACGTGCATATTTTTCTAAAGAAGCGCTAGAGTGATAAGGGGTGGGGCGGGGGTAGGGTGGGGTAAGAGGCGAGTAGGTAGATGTGAGGATGGGGGTTGAAGTAGTGGGGAGTTTATATCAAAACACATGTTCTATATTATATATCGACTCTGTCGATTGTAATTGCGGTCAAATTTTATCATATGTAAAAGAAGAAGAAGAAGAAGAAGAAGAAGAAGAAACAGAAGAAGGTTTTTTTCTTTAGATAAAAATAAATTATATAATTTTTCTTAATCTCTTTTATATTGTTTCTTTCAACTTCAAAGTAATACGTGGTCCCCAATGGAGGAGAGGGACCGCCGGGCAGGGAGTATTTTTGTCTTTCTTTTTCTTTTTTTTTTTTTGTTTTTTTTTTGATCCTTTTTTTCCTTTTTCCTCTCGAGGAAATTGTTCCCGTTACAACATAACCCTTTTTAAATATTTCACTCAGTAAAAAAGTAAAATTGAAGAGAGAGAGAGGGAGAGTGAGAGAGTGAGAGAGAGAGAGAGAGAGAGAGAGAGAGAGAGAGAGAGAGAGAGAGAGAGAGAGAGAGAGTGAGAGAGAAACGAAAGAGGGGTTTCGTCATATTCGAAAGGTTTCGCGCTCGATGAGGAAATAGTCGAGGAAATCTCGAAGAGGAAGTGTACACGTAATGACGAAAGAGAATAACAGAGAC